AGATATTACATTATATATATATATTACAATTTATTACTGAAGCACTCGAAACTGCCAAACAGAGACTAACAGCACTGGCCACCCAGTTGAAGAGATACACCAAGGAGGCAGAGGCCAGAAGAATAAACAAGTTGTTCTCCACTGAACCAGCCAAGGTGTACTCTCAGTGGCAGGGACGAAATAACAACAGGCCAGACCCACCAAGAGCTGAGGTGGAAGAATACTAGAAGGCCATATGGGAAAGAGGAAAAGACAGGGAAAAGAGGCATCACACAACCCAGATGCCCAATGGCTAGTGGACCTAAGATCAGACCACAGCAACCTCCCAGAACAAGAACCAGTAACCATCTCAATGGCAGACATCCAAGAAAGAGTGTCAAAGATGAAGAGCTGGACAGCACCAGGCCCCGATATGATCCATGCCTACTGGCTGAAGAAGCTAACAGCACTCCATGAACGCCTAGCAGCACAGATGAACCAGCTGCTAAGGGATGGGTCCCACCCAGAGTGGCTAACCCAGGGTGGTCCTAATCCTGAAGGACCCTAAGAAGGGACCCATCCCATCCAACTACCGCCCAATAACCTGTCTTTCCACAACATGGAAGGCCCTATCAGGTATCATCGCGGCTAAGATGAGTAAGCACGTAGCTCAATACATGAGTGGGGCTCAGAAGGGAATTGGTAGCAACACCAGAGGAGCCAAGCACCAGCTACTGGTCAATAGAGCAGTCGCCCGAGACTGTAAGAGCAGGAAGACCAACCTGTGCACCGCCTGGATAGACTACAAGAAAGCTTACGACTCAATGCCCCACACGTGGATACTGGAATGTCTGGAACTGTATAAGATCAACAGGAACCTAAGGGCCTTCATCCAGAACTCGATGGGAATGTGGAAGACAACCCTAGAAGCCGACTCAAAGCCAATTGCCCAAGTCAACATCAAATGTGGCATATACCAAGGAGATGGGCTATCACCACTGCTGTTCTGCATAGGCCTGAACCCCCTCAGTCAGATCATCACAAAGAGTTGTTACAGGTACCAATTCCAAAGTGGAGCAACAATTAGCCACCTGCTCTACATGGATGACATCAAGCTGTACGCCAGGAATGAGCGAGAAATCGACTTGCTGAACCACACCACCAGGATCTACAGCAACGACATAGAGATGTCATTCGGATTGGACAAGTGCGGCCGGATGGTCTCAAAGACAGGCAAGATGATCAGAACTGAAGGGGTTGACCTATCAGAGGGCAACATAGGTGATATCCAAGACAGCTACAAGTACCCTGGTAGCCCACAGGTTAATGGAAACCATGAGGAAGCCGCAAGGAAGTCAACCACAACCAAATATCTCCAGAGAGTAAGGCAGGTCCTGAAAAGTCAGGTGAATGGCAGGAACAAGATCCAAGCCATCAACATGTACGCACTACCAGTCATCAGATACCCTGCTGGGATCATAAGCTGGCCAAAGGAGGAGATAGAAGCCACAGATATCAAGACAAGAAAGCTCCTCACCTGGTGACTGTTCTAAAGAAAGCGCAGAGAAGTGTGTAAGACAGCAGCTCTGCTTCCTGGTCCCAACTCTGGACTGTCAGGTTTTAGAAATAAACAGCAACTTCATGGTGCCCAGTGCATCAAGCAACAGCTGGTACCATGTAAACACCTTAGCAAGCTCCAAAGACCATCTCAGGTAATAACGGTGTTGCAGTAAGATTGTTCGGATTTTTCCATTATTTAGCCCTCCGAAAAGACTTACCAGGAAGCACACAATGTTATGACTCGTGTTTGTCTTTTATTTTAAATCAAAGGACCACAGGTCATAAACCTGAAATACAAACAAATAATGACAATATATTATTCAAATAATATAATATAATAATAATGTAAATAATGAAATCAAAGAAGCCTGCAACACCATCAAAATGTGGCAAATCTGGCTCAAAACAACATTGACTACATCGCCCAGAATGCCTAGCGCCAGAGGAGCATGCGAACAGCGATTCTCCGCCGTCACTGGTTGCTATGGACGCTGTCACAGGACACAGAACCCATGCCACCACGTGCCTCGTCCAAAGGGTTCACACACGCACAAACGCAACATAACGCGGTACTCCACCATGGATCACCGAACCAAACCACCGCCAGAAACCAGCAGAGCTCCAAACAATCAGCACAACGCAAATGGCTAATAATGATAGCCTAATGCTACAGAGCATCCGGGTCGCCGAGCAACCGAACCTTCCGGGCCAACTAACACCGACACAGTGAGGTAAATGTTCAGTGCTCAAACATATAAGTGACTTAAACATTGTTACTAGTAGGCTGCGTGAGTAGTTAGCAGTTACATACCAACGGGCTGTGTGCTCCTGATGATGGTCTGGGTGAAATGATTACCAGGTGCCATAAGTAAAGTTTCTAATGCAGCTGCGCATGCGCACATAACCTAACATATCTGAGCATTTAAGAAACAAAGAAATCACTCGTTCCCATTTTAATTGAACACATCTTCCCACATAATCCTTTCCTATCTGACCATTATTTAATAACTTTTGAATTCATACTATTAGATTATAAGTCATTAGGCAAAACTTCCTACAGCAGATGTCTATCTGACAGTGCTGTGGCTAAATTTAAGGAGGAGATTCCTTCAGTGTTTAATTCAATGCCATGTCTGAATTTAACAGAGTCCTATAACGACTTTAGTCCCTCTGAAATTGATAATCTTGTCGATAGTGCTACAGGCTCACTACGATCAACATTAGACTCTATCGCTCCTATAAAAAGGAAATTAGTAAAACATAGGAGACTAGCACCCTGGTATAACCACCAAACCCGCCAGTTAAAACAAATAGCCAGGAAATCTGAAAGGAAATGGCGCTCTTCAAAATTATCAGAGTATCTCTCAATTTGGCAAGATAATCTTAAAATTTATAGAAAGGCCCTCCGTAATGCCAGAGGAGCCTATTACTCAGCACTAATAGAAGAAAATAAGAACAACCCTAGGTTCCTCTTCAGCACTGTAGCCAGACTGACAGAGAGTCACAGCTCTATTGAGCCACATATCCCCATAAACTTAAGTAGCAATGACTTCATGAGCTTCTTCCACAATAAAATTATTACTATTAGAGAAAAAATTAATCACCAACTACCATCAACAGTTATCAGTGGCTCTCCAAGTTCAGGGACTTCTGTCAATGTAAACTTAGATATATATTTAGACTGTTTTTCTGCTATCGATCTTGCTATCATTTCTTCATCGAAGCCATCAACCTGTCTATTAGACCCGATCCCAACTTAATCTTTCTTTATTATCAGGATATGTACCACAGTCCTTTAAAGTAGCTGTAATTAAACCCCTTCTTAAAAAGTCCACTCTTGACCCAGGGGTTTTAGCCAACTATAGACCGATTTCTAACCTCCCCTTCCTCTCTAAGATTCTGGAGAAAGTAGTCGCCAAAGAGTTGTGTGACTTTCTACATAACAATAGTTTATTTGAGGATTTTCAGTCAGGATTTAGAGTTCATCATAGCACAGAGACAGCTCTGGTTAAAGTTAATAATGACCTTCTGACTGCTTCTGACAATGGACTTGTCTCTGTACTTGTATTATTAGATCTTAGTGCTGCATTTGACACCATTGACCATAATATTCTTTTACAGAGACTTGAGCATCAAATTGGCATTAAAGGAACCGCACTAAGCTGGTTTAAGTCATATTTATCAGATCGCTCGCAGTTTGTACATGTTAACGATGAATCTTCAATAAATACTACAGTTAGTCATGGAGTTCCACAAGGTTCTGTACTTGGACCAATACTATTTACTTAATATATGCTCCCTTTAGGCAACATTATTAGGAATCACTCCATTAACTTTCACTGTTATGCAGATGATACGCAGTTATATCTATCAATCAAGCCCAATGAAATTAATCAATTATCTAAATTACAAACATGTCTTAAGGACATAAAATCCTCGATGATCTGCAATTTTCTGATGTTAAACTCAGAAAAAAACGAAATTCTTGTTCTTGGCCCCAAAAACCTTAGAGACTCATTGTCTAAAGATATAGTTACTCTAGATGGCATTAACTTGGCCTCTAGCACCACTGTCAGGAATCTTGGAGTTATCTTTGATCAGGATTTGTCATTTAACTCCCACATAAAGCAGACCTCTAGGACCGCCTTCTTTCATTTACGTAATATTAGAAAAATTAGACACATACTATCACAGACAGATGCAGAAAAACTAATCCATGCATTTGTTACTTCAAGGCTGGATTACTGCAACTCTTTATTATCAGGTTGCCCCAATAAGTCCATTAAAACGCTCCAATTAATTCAGAACGCTGCAGCACGAGTACTGACAGGAACTAGAAAAAGAGATCACATCTCTCCTGTACTAGCTTCTCTGCATTGGCTCCCTGTAAAATGTAGAATTGAATTTAAAATCCTCCTCCTCACCAATAAAGCTCTTCATGGTCAGGCCCCTTCGTATCTTAAAGAGCTCATAGTACCCTATTACCCCTCTAGAACACTACGTTCTCTGAATGCTGGGCTACTTGTGGTTCCTATAGTCTCTAAAAGTAGAACAGGAGCCAGAGCCTTCAGTTACCAAGCTCCTCTCCTGTGGAACCAGCTTCCAGTTGTGGTTCGGGAGGCAGACACCCTCACCACATTCAAGAGTAGGCTTAAGACATTCCTCTTTGATAAAGCTTATAGTTAGGGCTGGATCAGGTGAGTCCTGAACCATCCCTTAGTTATGCTGCTATAGGCCTAGACTATCGGGGGATTTCCCATGGTGCACTGAGCTCCTCCCTTCCTCTCTCTTTATGCACGCATTCATGTCCCATTAATGCATGTTACTAACTTCACTTCTTCCCCGGAGTTCTTGTGCTTTCTCGTCTCGCAGGTTCTCATGGATCCTGGTGGAGCCTCCTGCCATGGTCCTGCTTGACTGCCATTGCCAATACTGTTGTTGCTGTGCACCTGTCTGTCTGTCTGTCTGTCTGTCTGTCTCTCTCTCACCCCAACTGGTCGAGACAGACGACCACCCACCTAGAGCCGGAGGATCTGTCCTAGGTTTCTGCCTTTTAACAGGCAGTGTTTCCTTGCCCTTGTCGCCAAGTGCTTGCTCATGGTGGTACTGTTGGGTCTCTGTAATTAATGTTAAAGAGTTCGGTCTAGACCTGCTCTATTTGAAAAGTGTCCTGAGATAACTTCTGTTATGAATTGGCGCTATACAAATAAAATTGAATTGAATTGAATTTGAATTGAAATTTACTAATTTTATACTTTCATGTTCTACTCCTAGCAGGATGATCAGACCCAGCTGAAATTTACTTACAAAATGTAAAACACATTGTTGATGATATGTGTTGACTGTGGTGAGGTGGCGTGTCTGTGGGGTGGCGGGAAATTTTGATGGACCGCCACAAAACACGAATTCGCTAAACTTGACTGTACATTGTCCAATCGGCTCCACACTTCAAATGCTTGATAACAGTCCCGCCCTGAACACGTGTACATGACAATATTCAGACATAGTGATAGCGCCACCTACTGGCAACAGGAAGTAAGCGCTGCGTGGCGATTTGAGCTGATTAACGGCAGATTTTCATGTTGTGGTCCGCACGTGTTACGACGGCACGCGACGCGGCCGCAGCACGCCCCGAGTTGCGTGGAGTGCGAGGTCCCGCCCAACGCTGCTTGCAGCTTTAATTATTATTATTATTATTATTATTATTGTTATTATTTTATTTTCTATTATTGTGTTAAATGTTCCAAATGTAAAGCAATTTGAGCTGCTTTCTGTGTATGAAAGGTGCTATACAAATAAAGCTTATTATACAAATAACGCTTATTATTACTAAGAATTCAACTGTAGTCAGTCAACACTAATGGCAGGCGTATGTGTCAAAGACGACATTTTGACTACTGTTTTGTTTAATGTATGCATGTATTCAACATAACTTAACCCAATAGCTACACTACAGGCTATGTACAGGACATGTACACTGTAGGAATTCTATCATCAATATTATGGTCATTCTGAGAGTGGTTATTAGGCTACTGATAGTCTGTTCACACAATATGGCATAGATTATGATATAAAATTTAGTGCTAAAAGCATGATTGTCAGAAGTGAAAAGAATAAGAAACGTATGTTCCTTGGTTTTATTTATGCAAATTCTCACTCAAAGTAAAATGTAGCCTATTTGTAAAATTTCTAATGATGAAATGAGTGATGATCTATAATCCTGCCTTTGATTTGTGTGTTTCCTAACCCTAGGAATAAAGACTGAATTGAATCCAAGAGATGTTAGGCCTTACTATTACTTTACCAAAGTAAAGAAAAAAAAAAAAAGGCGAGCACATGACTGATTCTCCCATAAATGTTTATTGTGGAGTTGGGTCACAATTTCCCTACAAATTCAGTCGCATTTTAACGATAACGTACCCTGATTTCGGTAAATAATAAAATAAGTAAATATATATTATGTATTTAACATTAACAGTCTTTGTGTGCCATCCCATGATATTCAAAACATGTTCTTAAATATATTTTTTCTATGAGTAGGTCACACCACCACCAGTGACCAGTGCAGGGAACCTGACCCTCCGGGTGTCTGCTCGGAGGGATTGGTGCCGTGGGTCCAGTGCACAAATGTGACAAATGGTTTCACACTATTTGTGTCGGCTGGGAGGAGCTGGACAAAGATGAATTTTGGTGTTTTTGGTGGTTTTAATATGTTTGATAAGTTTGTTATTTAATTTGATTATTCTTTATATATTTATTTTGTATATATATTGTATATATTGCTGTTTTTTGTCCTGTCAAGATGTGTGTCATTTAGTAAAATATTTTTTGTCATATCATTTGTCTTTTGATTAAATAATATAATTGTATGCATGAACATTTATTTGTTATATTATGCTACATACTAACTCTGCACTGAGTCCATTACAGGTAATTGTTATATGAGCATACAGCATATGTGTCTGTAATTGCTAAATTAAATGCATTAGCTTGTATTTTAAATGAGAAGTGTTTAACAAAATATCCAGTAGGTGGCGGTATAGCGGTATAACTGCATAAATTAGAGTTGTTAAAGCATTGTATCTTATTTTGAAGGAGGAAAGTATGATCTCAGATGAGCTGATGTTAGATTGTCAGTCTCAGGAACAACTTAATAATATAATAACACCGGCAGTGTTCAATGTTTACTGTTAGTTTGTCAGTCTCAGGAACAACTTAATAATATAATAACACCAGCAGTGTTCAATGTTTACTGTTAGTTTGTCAGTCTCAGGAACAACTTAATAATATAATAACACCGGCAGTGTTCAATGTTTACTGTTAGTTTGTCAGTCTCAGGAACAACTTAATGATATAATAACACCGGCAGTGTTCAATGTTTACTGTTAGATTGTCAGTCTCAGGAACAACTTAATGATATAATAACACCGGCAGTGTTCAATGTTTACTGTTAGATTGTCAGTCTCAGGAACAACTTAATAATATAATAACACCGGCACTGTTCAATGTTTACAGCGGGCGGACTCACGGCTAAATCACCGGTGTTAGCATCCTTTTACCGACTCTAGTAAAGACCGAGCAAAAGTAAATGTTTAAAACGATACACGGTTAGAAAGGTAAGAAGTTCGTCTTTACTTTAGCACCTTAAAATCAACCGAAACCATTACATGATCATTTAACTTAGTAGTTAAAGGGAATTCATATCGAATATTAGCATGAAAATCGATCTGGTCTGAGTTCCGGTACAGTGTTAGCAGTTAGCCGTTAGCCGTCAGTTACCTGTTGAACCTGGAAGCTCTGACAGCAGAAACACCTGACGACGTGAAACTCCTGAACCATGACGGACTGATAATATCCGTCCTGGTCCTTTCGGGTCCTGGTCCTGGTCCTTTCGGGTCCTGCTCCTCCGGCTGAGTTTTCCCGGGTCTGTTTGAACAACAGTGAAACGTCACAGTGTCACAGCGGCCCCGAGCAGAGCGCCCCCTGCAGGCCGGAGGACGATATGGTTCATTTATTAAACTCGTTATTCATATAAACATATTTAATCTCCTGTTACTGATAAATAATGATTAACATGAAACATATATTATATTTAATGAAATAAAGTCTCACTGCTGTGATGCGTTCACTGTCTCGTTATTAATAAACTCAACCAGCAATCCAAAAGTAACAGCTGGACTTTAATCAGATGATTGAAATAAAACTTTATTAAACTTTTAAACACACAACAGCTGAGCTCTGGAACTATTGTAACTTATATATTATTATTATAATTATAATATTATTTCATTATCATTATTAATATGATCAGCTCTTGTATATAGAAATATTCTTTATACTTAATTCTGTGAACAACTTTATATATATATTTTCTCTTTATATTTACATATATTATTGTCAGTTTTCCATTTATTGCATCTATGGTTATTGTTTGTTTGTTATGCACAAATCTACCACAGTAAATGTGAAATCCTCCTCTGCAATAAATGATTATGATTAATTTCTTGAGCGTCCCAGATGGTCTCCCTACAGTCCCGACCAGGTCTTGTCTCTTCACCCGACAGTTTCTGTCACTCTGCAGCCTCTGAAGATGACCCGCCCTCCAACTGCCGCAGCCAGGAGCCAGGGGTTGACTTAACCTCCGTAACAACAACAACAACGTAATATTGATAAATGTGACTCTATTCATCAAAGGAACCAAAACAATTGTGACAGATTCCGGTCTTTTAAAATCAATACATTTGTTTTCATATGAACTTATAAATCAATAAACACCAACGAGGCAGAATTTCTTTCAGTATTTATTAGACAACAGAATAAAGATCAATAACTGATCAATAAAATGGATCTTAAAAGCAGACTGGTGAATAAACAGACCTGTGACATCATCGTTTCAACAACAGGAAGTAAACGGGTGATGTCATCAGGAACAGGCAGCAGAGACAAACAAACAAACAAGGCTTCAGTGACATCAAAATAAAAGTCTTGTTCAGGTAATACTCATGATTAATAAACAGGTAATGTCTGTACAGAAAGTAAACAACTTTATTTATAGATAACTTCAGTCACTTTATAACGGAGTCCATAAAGTTTGTTTACATTGATCTACTTATTGATTAATGCTTACAACATTAATCTACTTATTGATTAACCTTAACGTTGTTGTTGTTTACCTGCTCACATTTTAAGAAAGCAAAAAGTTTGTTTGTTCAACATATAAAAAAATTAAAAGACGTTTTGGGACTTTGGGGCTTCTGTAGTTCTGTCTGCACACTGTTCACCTGTTCTACCTGTTAGGGGCTGTTAGTGTGGACAAGTGGAGGTGAGTCAGGCAAGACAGGTGGACAGGTGAGTCAGATGGAATGCTGAGTGAGTTCGTGATCAGAGGCGGAGCTTGTCTGACGCTCCACCGCCCGCTGGGCCTTACAGGCTGCCATCTTGCTCTGGATGTCTCTCTTCTTCTCAAAGTAGTCGACGAGCGGCGGCTCGGTCAGCATCGACGCCAGCACCTGCTCGAAGGTGATCGACCAATCAACATCCAGCACGCTTCCCCGCCTCTGCTCCCCGCCGCCAATCAGCACAGTGTCGTCAGCGATGTCCTCGCACTGCAGCGAGCCAGAGCTCACCACCGAGTAAGACGACACTGAAGTGTCGTCTTTGGTTTCCTCGTCGGACGTCTGCGGCGCCGCTGGCTCCAGCTGAGCCTCGGCCAGTGCCCGACACACCTGAGACTCACCTGAAGCCCCTTCACTGAGCCCCTCCTCACTCTGAGGAGTGGGGGATGGGGCCTGAGCATCCTCTGTCTTCTTGCTGCCATTGTTAAACTTCTTGCCAACCTCTCCAATCCGCAGCAGCAGACTTGCTACAGTGGCGATGGAGTGATAGAGCTGCTGCTCCAGAGACTCCTCACTGAACATATTGTACAGAGTCTTACACAGGTCAATGAACTGCTCCTACAGAG